ATAGATAGATAGATAGATGATAGGTAGATGATAGATAGCAGTTCATCGAGTTAAACTTGTTTTGCTCGTTTTGTTTTTGCACTGTAGGGTTGAATTGTCCTACTCTGCTTCTATTAAAGAACCGGAAAGGAAGAGGAGAGAGCTGTTCCCCACAGTTTCAGACCAACCAAACCATGAACAAGAATTAAACAAGGTAGGAAAATAATGCTCTCCATCCATTCTTCCAACTGGATCTGGGATCTTTGCATAAACTTGGATTTTAAAAAATCTCCCTTCTGGGGCTGGAGAGATAGCTCAGCAGTTAAGAGCACGGACTGCTCTTGCAGAGGACCCGGGTTCGATTCCCAGCACCCACGTGATGGCTATGAATCATCCTTAACTCCAGTTCCAGGGGAATCCGAAGCCCTCTTCTGACCTCCGTGGCATTGCACGACATGGGTGCACTCACATACATGCAGGCAATACACTCATACACATAAAATAAAAATAATAAATAAAAGATTTTTTAAAAATCTTCCTTCTAATGGGGTGTAATGCTGCACGCCTTTAATCCCAGCACTCAGGAGGCAGGGGCAGGTGGATCTCTGTGAGACTGAGGCCAGCCTGGTCTTCATAGCAAATTTCAGACCAGCCATTCTGTCTCAAAAGAAAAAACAAAACAAAAACAAAAACAAAAAAACAAACAACAAAAAAAACAAACCAGGGACTGGAGAGATGGCTCTGGGGTTAACAGCACTGGCTGCCCTTGCAGAGGACCCGGGTTCAATTCTTAGCACTCACATGGCAGCTAACAACTGGCCATAACTCTAGTTCCAGGGGATCTGACAGCCTCTTCTGACCTCCGAGGGCACAGCAGGACACAAGTGCACTCACACACATGCAGGAAGTAGACTCTTACACATAAAATAAAAATAATAAATCAAATATTTTAAAAAACAAAGACTTCCACCTCACTCCCTTTTACTCCTAAAATAATAACCAACCAAGTAGATAATTCCGCTATTGTTCTGTGAACACAAACATTGACTTAGTCTTCCAGTGGAATACTGCCTCTAAAATGTGGAGGGGAGCCCTCATAGGCAGCAGCTTAGAGCCCAGACCAGCTGCAAACCCAACAGGTGACCTTGGAGAACCTGCCTGTGCAGCTCGCTCAGGACCCCATCCAGGACACGCTGGTTAATACTGTTGCCCGACTTCCTGAGGAGACATGAAGATATGTCTACCCACTCCACGTTGGGCACTGACAACAGACTAAAGAACTGATCCTGCTCCAGACCAGCCTGTGAGCTACTTACAGGAGCATGGCGGGGTACTACATACAGGAGCATGTGTGACTCAGAAGCAGCTGTATCACCAAAGAGCAACACACAAATGGTGATGAATTGTTAAAGCTGCAACCCAGGAGCTCCCTGCAAAATGCAGTCCCCTCTCCCCACTGCAGTTCCCTCATCACTGCAGTCTCCTCTCCCCACTGCAGTCCCCTCTCCACACTGCAGTCCCCTCTCCTCACTGCAGTCCCCTCATCACTGCAGTCTCCTCTCCACTGCAGTCCCCTCTCCACACTGCAGTCCCCTCTCCACACTGCAGTCCCCTCTCC